TCCTCGCTTGAAAAAGCCTGGCCTCGATCTCAGTGTCCTCTAACTCTGATGATTGGCTCGGACGAGTCGATTTTGGGTTCTTCAGCTTCTTAGCCTGCTTTTCTTGCTCCTTGATCAGCTTTGGCCATTTCACGATCTTGTTCTTTTGGGAGTCGAATTCTCTTTTGTTGATCCCGCCATTCTGCCATCTCTTTCTTCGTACGGCGGCCACGTTTAGGAGCTGGAGGGTCCTTGCTTTTGTCGGTGGAGGTAGTAGGTTGACCAGGCTGAACACTGGAAGATTGCTGCTGGGAATTGGACAATGATTCTGATTGCGACATCTGAAATTAATTAAATTAAACATTAGTACTAAGTTTGATGGTTTGAAGGACCAAAATCCTGGAAGACAACAAACCGCATTGTCCTGAGATGCATCCATGATGAGGACCTTGGGGGTGGAAATGAGGTGGGGAAGGGATAGTCGGGGGTGAGTGGGCTTGGCGGGGGGAGTAGTATGTATGATTGAAGGAGAGCAAGTCCGATGAGCAATTAGCCAGCAGCAGATGAGCAGTGCTGCAGGTTTGGATTGTGGTTAAATTTTATGGTAAAATTTTGACGAGCAAGCAGTCATGGTTTTGTGACATGTCCTTAAAAAGGCCCAACGTGAACAGGCCTAATGTAGCCCCAAATACTTGATAACCATCCCCCCAAAAAACCCAGTCTTTTATCTTTAAAACTGGATTATAAGTCTCATAAAATACAGATTATCTGTAAGATTGACTAACCGCTATAAGCATCACCAGCATGGGGTAATGGTGGGATTTCCAAACTGAATTTACTCCCCCCCCCTCCCCACATATGGCCTATTTAACCAAGTAAGGGAGTATGTCTAAATGAGAATGGGGGGCATATGATTGGTATGCTTTTCGTGGCTTCCATGCATCATTCCTATGATAGCCCGGCTCACAATAGCCAGTCACCAGCCAAAAGTTTAGCTGTAATCAGCCAATCATTGATACTTAAAAACACATCCATTTTTGAATGTTTGGTCCAAAGTCCCCCAGATTACATATTCCAGATCCATCCAAAAAAAAAAATGCCATCAACAACTTTTAACAAGGTAATAGAGGACTTCCCGTCAGAATCTGCGGGTCCCCAGAACCGATCTAGAGCGTCAAAAACCAAATTTCCCTGCGAGAATTAAAAGTTTTTGGCTCTAGATCGACTTCTGCAAGGGTCCCAGATCCGACGGGAAGTCCTCCAATCAGCAATTGGAACTGGCTATTGTGAACCGGGCTAACATGTTGCAGAACACATGCTGGGTTTAAATTGGTCCCATGCAGAGCAAAACATCCCTGCTACAATCAAGGGCACAAAAGTACTGCTCTGGACTACAGGAAGTAATCTTTTGATTCACTGATCAGTACTCTAATTTGAATAAAAAAAGTGAGGACGATTATCCAAACATATGTATCACATCCAGTTTTTTTTGTAAAAACTTGGCAAAAATAATTGCAGTTGGGTTGTAATAGCACAAGAGCTGGCACAGTGGAGTAGTACTATTAATCAATCTTACACACAAGTCCAACTCTCATCTAGTGATTGCTTTTTTTTACTTTGCTGCTGGTCTATCCTGCCAAACTAATTTTTATATTTCAATTTTGAGCAATATCAAAACTTCCTGAAAAAATTGATTGTTTTGCTGTTTTTCATATGATTCGTTCTTGCCATCTTTTCACAAACTTCTGGTTCTAAGAAGCCCTTCATAAGTTCATTGGTCTTTTTTTTGGGATCTCTGGGTGGTAGGCTTCTTGGAATTTGCTTTTGATACTACTAGTCTTGTTGGTTTTACATGCCAGAGTTTAATCTCAGATTACACAAAGAATCAATGTCTGTCATTTTGAATTGAGTAGTAGATCTGTGTAAATTTTTAGTTGATTGGTCAGGTTTTAAGAACTAAAATTGAATCAAAAAAACAACATTAATGAACAAAGAGAGTGCGTGTGTGTTATGGAAAAGAAGGAAAGAAAATGTGGGAGGTGATATCAAAACATGGAGGGAAACATGAAGTTTTATTAGAGAAATGGTGGATAGGGTGAGGCATTACATATCAAGCTTTATCCTATCTGATGATTGACGCTAAAACGGCTATGTACACAGGAACACGGAAGGGTATGTATAGTTTCTTCAAGGGTTGAAGCTGTTGACCCTGTTTCACTAAATACAGCCCTCATCAGATAGAGCAGATACATACATAAATACATGGAAGTAAACAAATAACCTGAAAAGGGAAACAAAGAAAAGAACTTGGAAGATGATGAAGCAAAAAAATGGGAAGGAGCAGCCGTCTGCGACGTCCCCGAGGAGGTCACCGGTCGACATTATGTAGGATTGCATCGGGTTGATTCGGTGGTTCGGAATCGGTGGGCAAATTCGGAGTGAAAAGCAAGCCGATGGACTGGGGGATGCAGCGGGGGTTTGATGAGCACCACCAGGGTAGATTATGTATTTTTTCAATAGGACGGTTCACATTTCAAATTTTTTAGCAAATTTTTTATTTGAAGTTAGCAGAGGGAATTGAGATCTCACGCTTAAAATTAGCCTGCTGCCAGTGCAAGTTTGGACAGAGTTTCGAAATCAGCAAGCAGAAAGTTTATTACAAGTTAGCAGTGGAAAGTGTGAAATGTGAACCGGGCTAATGGGGCTTTGTTTCCATTCAGGGTTCACTGCCCACCAGCCAGGGTATTTCAATCTTTCCTCTTTCCATCCTCTTCTTCTTCTTCTTTCGCAGCTAACCACTAATTAAATACCAAGAACAACGATGGCCAGACATAACCGGCGACAGACCAATACTCAGCCTGCCCAATCTACCTCATCAACACCATTTACCTACCAACCCATCAGTCATAATAGTAATCATAACAACAATAACAATAACAATAACAATAACAATCAACCTAAACGACCTCGTCCTTCAGCCAGTCAGTTCAAACTATCACATCTCATTCATAAACAAACTCATATCAGAGCGAGCATGAAGGCTAATTCAAAAACTTTGAATTGATTTTCTTGAATTTCAGATGAGAGAGTTCTTCAAGAACTTCGATCCAGAACCGCGTTGCGGCATTCAAGCATGGACCCAAACAGTAACATCCAAGATGGACAAGAGATCGAGGTGACGAGATTTGAAATACACGACCGAGCCTACCGACCGCAATCAGTCTACGTGTTTCCATTTGGCGAGGACTCCTCAGACGAGACGCTTCGGACGATGATCGAGAATGTCTTGCAAGATAGTCTCATCATCACGGCCTGTCGACCACCCTTAAGATTAGTGTCGTTTGACATGGAATGGGTCACCGACCATCGCGCACGCAAGCCCAGGCCGACGTCCTTGATCCAGATCTGCGGACAGACGATCACCCTGG